TCCAGTTCTGGGCTCCCCAGTTCAAGAAGGACAGGGATGTTCTGGAGAGAGTCCAGCGGAGGGCCACAAAGATGATGAGGGACCTGGAACATCTGCCTTACAACGAGAGGCTGAGAGAGCTGGGACTCTTCAGCCTGGAGAAGAGAAGACTGAGAGGGGATCTTATCAATGTCTATAAATATCTGAAATGTGGGGGTCAAATGGATGGGACTGGGCTCTTTTTGGTGGTGCCTGGTGATAGGACAAGGGGCAATGGGCAAAAACTGGAACACTGGAAGTTCCATACAAACTTAAGGAAAAATTTCTTTACTGTGAGGGTGACAGAGCACTGAAATAGGATGCCCAGAGGGGTTGTGTAGTCTCCATCTCTGGAGATGTTCAAAACCTGCCTGGACACTTTCCTGTGCAATCTGTTGTAGGGAACCTGCTTCGGCCGGGGGGTTGGACGAGATGATCACCTGAGGTCCCTTCCAACCCCTATGATTCTGTGATTCTGTGATTTGTAATATCCTATGAAAGGACTGGTCCTCCCTGAGGACTATACAAACACATATTAAGGTAAATAATGGAAGGCTCCTATACTCTGAAAAAAAAAAAAAAAAGCCCAGGGAAAAAAAATCCAGCTCACTGAATGGCCAGAAATTGAGATACTGAGATTATCAGACAAACCGGAAGCAATCTGAACTGAATTAGCCTGGCATGATCAAAGTGCTAATGAACTTTGGTTTCTCAGCTCCCACTGAATTTATTTGTCATTCAAAATAGTAAGACTACAGTACCATTTCTACTGGATTACTGCCTTTGAGACCCAGGTCATAAAAGGGCAATGAGGTGTTAGAGTGTAAGGAGACTCAGAGAAATTTACTAACTAATCTTTACTAAAGAAAAATGATTTACAATGGGTTTGCTGCAGATGGTATTGTCAAGCAAAGGCAGATAAATTGATATGTGTCTCCAAGAATTTTTAACAATGCTAGTAGCTTTTTTCATCTGTGTATGTTCTCTAATTCGTGTTTCACTTTTACTGTGGGGATTCCAGAAGCAAAATATTGATTACTTTGTGCAACATTTAGTCTGTGATAATTGAATCCAATTGTCTTAGAGATCATTGTTGCATAATCATTATTCAGTTACAATTTCCATTAATTAATTTTTGTCAAATTCTTTCTCTATTAAGATCTCAGTAATGTAGCTGCAGTACACATTAATTGTCTGATGTACTTAATGAGACACACTCAGACTAAAGGATGAAAGCAGTCTGGAAAAGAAGCAGACAAAGAGGTTGGACGGCAAAACATCAATGGAAAAAGCAGAGAGCTTGGGTTAGGCAACACTTTTAAGGAAGACAGCAACAGAAGAAGGATTTGGAGAAGGGGAACTCGGCAGCATTGATATAGAGGATAAAAAAGATGGAGAAAACCTCTCTTGGAGCATTAGAGGTTGGCCACTGACACAGTAAATCATTGGATAAACTGTACATGAACTGCTGAAATACTGTTATTATTAATCTTGATTGCACCAAAATCATCAAATCACAGAATGGTTTAGATGAGAAGGAACCTTAAAGATCTCCATTTCCAACCCCCTGCCAGCAACTAGACCAGGTTGCTTAAAGCCTCATCCAACCTGGCCTTAAGCACTTCCAGGGAGGGTACATCCAGAGTTTCTCTGGGCAACCTGTTCCAGTGTCTGACCACCCTCACAGGAAAGAATTTATTCCTAATATCTAATCTAAATATACCCTCTTCCAGTATAAAGCCATTGCTCCTTGTTCTGTCACTACCTGCCCTTGCACAAAGTCACTCCCCAGCCTTCCTGTAGACCCTTCAGGTACTGGAAGGCCACTATAAAGTCTCCCTGGATCCTTCTATTCTCTATGCTGAACAGCCCACTCTTTCAGCCTGTCCTCATAGTAGAGGTGCTCCAGCCCTCATATCATCCTCATGGCCTCCTCTGGACTCTCTCCAGGAGGTCCATGTCCTTCTTATGTTGGAGGACCCAGAACTGGATGCAATACTTCAGGTGTGCAGAATCCCCTCCCTCGACCTGCTGGCCACACTTCTCTTGATGCAGCCCAGGATACACTTGGCCTTCTGGATGCATATATATACAATAATCTATCAGCAACATAATTATGTTTATGTGATGGGAATACCTTCCTTAATTAAAACACTTCCAACCCTTGTGAAGTTAAGCATCAACCTAATTTAACAAGTAAAATTTGCTCATCTGGCAAATCTTAGTGCTTATGAGTTTGTCTATGAGCTAGTTTCCAAGCTAAAGTATTGCCACAGTTGTCTACTTAGTGTTTATATTGCTGCTTTATTTTATTAAAGGGATTATTGGAAGCAATTCAGTCTCTTCCTCATCAACCTACTCTTAAAAATGACAGCAATACAAAGGGAGAACTGTTAAGATCCGTGAAACCTGTCACTCACAACGCACACACAGCTGTCACGTTACATGATCTGAAACAGCACAAGTCAATAAAATGCATTTAGTATCTGTTCCCACATATTACATGGATGGAAAAAGTCCTGCTCTTTTCACAGTGATAATCCTGAGGTACCTGAACCACCATAAGAATAACTTGTCTAGTAATAGCATTCTTAGATAAGAAGTTCAGTTAAGAAACAGCGAAACAAGAAGAAGAAGGGAAAAAAAAAAAAAAAAAAAAAAAGCATTACCTGATAGTTTTGATCATGCTGAGCCCCATCTCAACACAGCAGTGTGCATGGTCCTGACGAGGTTCTGGAAGCCCTGACACACAATAGTAGCAGTCCCCCAGGATCTTTATTCTGAGACAATGATGTTCCTACATGTAAATGAATCAAAGAGAAAGGAAAGATTTGCAGTCATGTTTTCATAATTTTAAGATGAATGCGAAAGTGGTTGAAAAAAGGACTGAAAAAAAAAAAATTAAAAACTTGTTGCTAGATGTTTCCTGCCTGTTATTACTACGATCTTGTTTTATTTCACTTTTGAAATAAAGTACCTTTACATTTTCAGTAAAAAAGTATATAGTGATTTCTGTGTTATGCTACTCAGAGGTGTCCTTGCTGATGATGAGAAAGGTTTCATCACAGGCAGGCTGGAAGCTAGGCCAAGGATTCAGAAATGCCAGCTGAGAAAATTAATAACCCATTTTAGAGTTTATTTCTCCGGGGCATTCCTTCTGCCCCCTTTTTACACTGGAAATAAATTAAAAACCTCTTTCCTCCCATTGATAATCCCTTCCCAACTAAAGTTTCCACTGTCACACTGAAGCTTTCCCAGCACCTATAGGAGCCGGTCAAGTACCTGCAAGCCAAAAATATAAAAGAAAGTGTCTTGCATTAGGGTTGTGCTATGAAGAAATGGCATTTCTTTGGCATCCAGCCAGAGACGTTCTTTACCCTAGGAACAAGTACTGAAGTTTATTACTTACATATTAACAGTATTTTTATAGACTGAAATAACATATCACTGAGTAATTGGGTGATTATTTAAGAAGATCATTTTCTAGTGAGCAGAAATACCCGAGTTGCCAAAACTTTTGCAGTTCCTAGGCAAGAAAAGAGCCCAGGATTAACTCTAAGCTTGTCCAAAGTATTCTGCTAGCTTGGCACTCCCAGGAGACAATCAATGCACAGGAACAGAGACCACAATAATTTGAAGACTGAGATGCAAGTCTGGAGGCAGGCAGTATTATAAGTCGAGTCAGGGAAGTGTTTTTATGATGGAGAATCATTGAAATAGTAAGTGAAGTATTAGCACTCAGCCAGCAAAGGCTGTGATGACAGCATATTAAAATGGAGACCAGTCATTACTGGGGAGTAGGATAATGATTTTTAAAATTGGTTCATTAGATGATAGCAAAATTTGGCCTGGGATATTGATTTCCATTTTTCTCTTCTAATTCTTTCTGGTAACCTGTGGTGGAGGCCACACTAATCAAAGGAGTGGGGATACTCTACACCCACTGGGGAAGAGACAATCAAGTACTGGCCTAATGAATGGGACTCCAGGTTATTAGGTAAGATTTTGCTTAGGAAGAATGAAGCTTTGTAGTCAACATCAGACAAGTCTTTACAAATCCCTAGGGAGGGACTTTTTACAAAGGCAGGTAGTGACAGAAGAAGGGGCTGTGGCTTTACACTGGAAGAGGGTAGGTTTAGATTAGATATTAGGTAGAATTTCTCTATTGTGAGGGAAGTGAGACATTGGAACAAGTTGCCCGGAGGAGTTGTGGTTGCCCTCTGCCTGGAAATGTTCAAGGCCAGGTTGGATGAGGCTTTGAGCAACCTGATCTAGTGGAAGGTGTCCCTGCTGATGGAAGGGGTGGAAATGGATGACCTTTAAGGTCCCTTCCAACCCTAACCATTCTATGATTCTATGAAATCCTAGAGTGGCAAAGGGAACCTGCATCCAAATCTTTTGCAGAAGTCAGCTGAAGCTTTAAGCATGTTAGCGAGGGTAAAATCTTCTCTGGGCACAGGGCCAAAGTAAGCTGTTTCACCCTGAAATCTCCTTAAACCATCAGTAGGAGCCGACTGTGTTTGAAGCTTTGGATAAGTCTCCAGCTAATACCATTGCTGGCTTTCAGAGTGCTAAGCCTAGATGGACAAGCTTCACAAGGAAATTCAAGACTAAAGATAGGCTTCTAAAATGTCAAAATTCATATGTACCTCTCATCTTTCCTTGTCCCCTTCTCTTCAATCACTCTGCAGACCCACACAAGCAAATATTGGGTATTTTTAATATGGTTGCAACTGAAATAGTACATTCAAAAATCTACCAAAATATTCCTTTTTTACGTGTTTCCCCCTCAAGGGAAAGAATGAGACATTTGGTTTTGCTGCACTCTTGACCTAATGTTTTTCTTAATAGCGTGAGGCTAAGAAACATTAAAGTTAATTAACAAGTAGCAAGGACTCAATTGTATAAATCAGTGCATGTTAAACCATTAGCGGGCTTCCTTAAGCTTCTTTCTGTGTTCCCTGGCTAGACAAAATGTAAAGAGATAAAGATATTATTAAACACTGATTCTAAAGTTCTTTGGCTTTTTTGATAATGTTCAATTGATTCATATTTTAATTACTATTTGCTTTTGCATCTACAAAGCCAAAGAAACATTTATAACATCATATCAATTTGACTGAGGTGAAGTAATAGGAAGCACTTAAGATTCACTCAGACCCACTACAAATACATTACAACTGATAACCTCGTAGTATAAAATAGAAAAAAAAAAGGGAAAACCAGTCAATTTACAGGAAAAAAGAAAGACAAGCCTCAAGTAGTATAATATTTTAGTATTATAAATACATTTTTACACACAACATCTATCATGCAGTCTTGCAATTGTAGTACCTTCCTATCTGATGATGTGGGAACCCCCTATTAGTTAAGTATCTGATTCAACACAGTTACAGAAGGTGGTGTGCAACAGGGCAGGGGGGAACCTCAGCTGTTTGGTTCCTGATGACTCTTTTAAACAGGCTGAAGTGCTAATTTAATCAAAGGCAGATGAGACTTCTATCACCTGGTTGCATGTCTCCTCATTTGCTGGAAATCAGAACAAGGCAGAACACTTCAAAAAGATGTGATTTTTTATAAGAATAAGGAAGAAGAGTCTTAATGTGTAACAAGACCTTCTAATGAGAGTTTGATGTCTGCAAATGTGAGTACATGTGTGTGACAGAGGAAATCAGTTCAGCTGCACACGAATATATGTTTTTTCTTGTCATGATATATCATCACTACACTCATTTGCCAAAGTTCAGAAAGTTGTCTACGGAGTGAGATACCCAAATGGAGATGACTATATATAGGCTTCCATATGCCAGCCAGCAGTCAAAGCTACCATTACAGTCAAAGGAGAGATGGGCAAGGCAGTCAGGGAAGCCTAGGGACCGATTCAACTCACAGCTAAAGCAGTTGGCTGGGTTTCAGTTCAATTCTCTCCACATAAGCTTATGGTGCATCAGTAAGACCCCTGGGTATGTGAGGCACCTACAAAGGACTAACAGACGTGACATAAGAGGTATGTCCCACAAGAGCTGTGGAAGGGCCAGGCAGGGTGTCTGTATTGGCACAAGAAGCCACAAGGTGCACTTAGAATCATAGAATCATAGAATAGATT